ACACTTGAGCAGCCAGGGCTTTAACTGATGAGCCATCTCTCTGGCCCCCAAAAGAAACCTGATTCTAACTATTGTTACAATGTGATTTGTATCCTCAGGTCTTCAACCCACACGGATTTGAGCTTGGAATGACTGGCTGAAAGTAGAAATGCAAGAATACAATTCCTAGGACAACTGCTAAAATATATAAAGAACTATCAAAAAGACAGTTTTGCTGGGCTGGAGAGATGGCTCAGTAGATAACACTGGCTGCTCTTCAGAAGACCTGCATTCAATTCCCAGCACCCACATAGCAGCACACGACTGTAACTCCAGTTCCAGGGGATCTAACGCCCCCTTCTGACCTCCTCAGGCCCCAGGCACACATATAGTATACATACTTACATACAGGCAAAATATTCATACACATAAAATAAAAACCTCTTTTAAAGATACAACTTAGGGTTGAGGAAGACCAGTAAGAGTGCTTGCCATCAAACTGGATGACCTGAGCTTAATCCTTCAGTTCCATACAGCAGGAGAGAACTGATCACTCCCTAAAACCTGTCCTCTGATATCTCTCTCTCTCTCTCTCTCTCTCTCTCTCTCTCTCTCTCTCCTCTCTCGCTCTCACTCTCGCTCTTGCTCTCGCTCTCGCTCTCTCTTACACACACACACACACATGCTGCTCTGGAACTTACTCTGTAGACCAGACTGGCCTCGAATTCAGAGATTCATCTACCTCTGCCTCTTGAGTGCTGGGATTAAAAGCATTTAATCCCTCCACCACCCAGCATACTCCGCCCTGCTCCAGTGATACACCTGACTTCGCTATTGGAAGATGAAACAAGAACATGCACATGTAAAACAGACAAAAAAAATAGATAAAAAACAGAAGAAGGAGAAACAGATTCTCTGGAACGCCAACATTAAAACTGAGCTTCAGACAGGCATGGTGGATGGTACATGCCTTTCATCCCAGCACTCAAGAAGAGGCAGATGGATTTCTGTGAGTTTAGGAACAGCCTGGTCTACATAGACATGTGGCTTCCAGGACAGCCAGAACTACACAGTATCAATAAACAGATGGATGGATGGATGGATGGATGGATGGATGGATGGATGGATGGATGGCAGTGTTTCTCCCAGCCTGATTAAGGGGAAAGAGTGTGATGCACACATGTAGCAGGCTAAGTATTCTCAGGAAGCACAGCAGAAGGACTCAGAGCCACATCCTGTGTCAGGAGCCCAAAAGTCTGGAGGCCTGGAGGAAAAGATAGGGAGAGGCCAGGAACATGAGTCTTCTCATGAATAGGGATGTCAGAAGGGATGGGAGTCCTGAGCAAAATGTAGGGGTCACACTGTATGGCTATTGCTGTTTCTAGGGTCTGATCTCTAGTCACCCCTTAGCAGTACTTCTTTTACAGGAAATGGCTCATCCTCCTACTTAGTCTGGCACCTTCACCTGCAGGCCAGCTGTCACTGTGTAGACAGGACACAGCAGTGAGGATTAACTATGATCACCGAGGTGCAGTTAGGAGCTGGGGCTTCTGATGAAAAGGGTGTGGGGGTCCTGGCTCCCGGTCTTCCCCGGACCTGACCCCTTCATGGTTCACTAGGCAGTGCTGCAGCATGCCATCCCCAGAGAAGCACATGGCAGGCTACTGAAACACCCAACAGACACTACTGGTCCTCAAGCCTGGATCTTCAGAGTGTCATGTTACCACTCCAGCTTAGCAGAGACAGGTCTCCAGGTGCCTGAAGCCCGTAAGAGAACAAGACCAGCAGGCAGATCCCAAAGGTGGCTGCTCCCCTCTCCAACCCACTTTCCAGACCTCCTTCCAGAGGCTGCCCAGACAGTCCTCTGGCCAGAACTCTGGTATCATGGCAAAGTGCAGAGGCTATACAATTTCCCTGGGGCCTCTGGCAGCCCACCAGGGAACCTCAGCCCTCTTGGGTGATGTCCTCCCAGAATGATTTTTGATTCCTGAAAGCAGGAGCCACTGCCTAGGCATAGTCCTCAATAAGGAAGATGCTTTTTGGATACTGTTCCAGCACCCAATTAGTAAGTAGCACACTATCCAAGGTAAATAGACAGCCTCTCATGGCACAAAATGGCTAGACTGGGTGACAGCCACACTAATTAGTGACAATAATTTATAGCCATAGCACCTTCCCTTCTCTACTTATTCTGAGCCACTGGACTGTCTGCTATAGATGGTCTCAGGGCTGTCAAAGGGTGGTAGTCATGTCCCCTCATGTCCCTCTCAGCAGAGAATCCTCTGTGCTTGAACAAACGCAGGTGATACATCCTGCTGGTTATTCTGCAGCTCTCGCCATCTATGACCAAAATCCAAGTGACAGCCAGGAACCTATCCATGTCCTCTCCTGATCCTGAGCCCAAGGGGCAGCCACAAACCTCCATCCCTGTCCCTTACCAGCTACATGGGCTCAAATGGCTACTTAAAGCTTATCCACCATACTCTTTTCTCGAAGGCTACCCGGCCCTTCAGAAACCAGAACATAGTAGAGCAGCAAGTCCAGCAGGGACTTGTGTGGGTGATCTTCCTCCATTCTCTGAGGCTGTGGGTAAGCCTCTGACTCCTGGGACACCTGCCACTGTTTTCAAAGTATGGCTCCCCAACTCCGGAATAAGCTCTGCTTGTAGGCTATAGGCTCTCAGGATTCTACAAGTGAGGTTCCAGCCACCTGCTTTTGGCTTCTAGTTTATTATGAAAATGATGTAAAAAAGTATACAGTGAATGAAGGGACCTGCCTCATCCACAAAGACACTAGGGCTGGGCTGGACCTAGAATAGAGAGGTTTACAGCAAATTGTGGGCAGGAGAACCTGAGTAATCTGTTCTTCCACGAGGACAGTGCAGAGACCAACTGTCCAGGGCTCCTACCATCACAGCAATGAAGTGAGGATAGGTAGGGACTTTCCTTGCTTCACAGTGCCAGTTGCCCAGCCCAGGGATGTGACTATCCTAGGAACTCCCCTGCCTCTCAAGAAGGCCCAGGAGAGCCCATATCCAGGAGATGAGCTAAGCTCTAAGAGTGACTCTTCTGCTGTCCTACCCACAGCACAGGCCTAAGTTTGAGCAAGACCCAGCCAGGATGGGAGAACCAGAGAAACTCTGGGTCTTGGTAGGCTCCTTATTTCAGGGCAGCTACAAGCCTGATAACAGCCTCATGGAATCACCTCTCTACAGAGGACTCAAGGTTGTGCTCAGGCCACTGGTCCCAACCTGAACAGGTGATATCCTCTCATGCCAGCTATATCTGAAGACCTCCTCAAGTCCCCCTGAAGCTCTGGGATATCTACATCCTGGAGGATGAGGTTGTGGTCATGACCACAGCAACAAAACAAAACGAACAACCAAACAAAAAACAGCCCTCACAGTACATAGAAGTCACTCCTCAAGTATCTAGTACAGACCTTGGCTAGCCAAGGGCCTCACTCAAACCAATCACATTGTCTATCTCTCTAACCTGAGTGAGCCAGCCATGAAGGGTGGACCAGCCAAGTGTGGTTAGTTGGGCAGGGTACAAGGTACTAAGTCCTAAGCCCATCCTCCACTCCACAGTTAAGAGTTGAGGGTACTTTTCTGGCAGGATCTCAGAAAAGTGCTCAAAAAGATGCTGAGATGTAGTAGTCTCAACAAGATAGACCTGGGCACAGGCAGGACAAGGACAACAAACAACCTTTCCCAGGGCCCAGCCCAGAGTCCAACTGTGTACCCTTGAAAATTTCCTAAAGCCTCTCTGTAGGTCTTGCTGCTTCAGGCTGGGCAAATACTGAAGTACCATCAGGCCTCTGTTACAGAGTGAGGGATAAAGCATGTCATGCTTCCCAGGTTAGCTCCAGTTTGAGTCCCTTCCCAGGGCAGGCATGTCTAGGCCCCAAGAGCTCTGCCCCTATGTTTTCCACCCTACTGCTTCTAACAAGAACACTAAGCTCCTGTCCACCCTTACAATCACAGCCCAGAATGTACTCAGCCTGCTAAAACTCCCAAACAGGGCCAAAGACAACTCCTAGTGTAGCAGACCCTATCTCCAACCCACCTTGGGTTCATGACCAACAAGGCTCCAACAGAGTCACTGAAGCTTCAGATTATACCTCGGGAGCCTCAAATACACATGGACAAGAGAAGCTGACCATTTGGCTGCGTTGGAAGAGAGCAAGTGTACTGCTCAACCACTCAGCCGCAGGCTACACCATGTCTAGTGGAGCCTCCTTCCAAGTGTCCTGAAGAGACGGACTTCACCCAATTCCACTTGAGTCTGGAGAGGGTAAAGGGTACCCACCATGGGCCCCAGTGGCCAGGAAGAGAACTAGAATAAGTGGATGGACCCTCCTGTAGCCATGACTAGTGCCAGAATGAGGCACAGGGATGGCACACCCTTTGGGAGCAGTGAACAGCTATCTGACTTGTATGTGTCTCTCAAGATTATACAGGTGACTTGGAGAACATCTGTACACCTCAGAGAGGTGGCAGGAACCAGTGAGGGAGTTTCTACCCTCTCAGGGCGTTGAGATTGCTAGGCCCTAGGTACCAGTGGGACAGAAGCCTGAGGCTACACAGAAAACATTGAGGCTCTATTTCAGAGTCCTAGGATCTCCATCACAGGTCAGACGGCTGCAGGATGTCGGGGCAGGGTAGATCTTATACTGTCGTTCTTAGGGCTGTATTTCATGGATCCCAGAATGCAGGAAATGTGTTTCCTGCTGGAGACAAGGGATGCCCTCTTACTCTCAAAGCCCTCCTCCTCCCATTAGCTAAAGGACAATAGGTCACTTTTCAGATCACCTGACTATTCTTGCGTTGCCTATAACTTTCTGCAGGAAACACAAGACAGTTGAGGCAGGCAGAAGGGAAGGGCTGCACCGTCCAATGTCGCAGGCCAGCCTCCCCAGCCTCTTCTAGAAACAGGAACAAGGCAGATGATGGATCCCAGGTTCCCAGTATCTTCTGTGAGGCCACAGGCACTACACCTCCTACTCCAGCCAGAGACAAGTCAAGACCATCAAATAATTTACTGTGATTCAACATGTGCCCTCATAGGCGCCTGGAGGGAACTGAGAGGGGTGGAGGACTTGGGTGCCAGTGACAACAGGGACAGTTCTTGACAGTCTGTTCAAATTGTCCATGCGAAGGTCTTGGTCACATCTGTCCACCATCCCTGGCCTGGCCTGGCTCCAGCATCGTTTCCTTCCTTCCCTCCTCTTTCCTTCCTTCCGTCAGCACCTCCTCCCTGCATCCGGCACCTCCACGTCCTGAGCCTGTGCCGGGGCGGGCACAAAGGACATGACTGACTGCAGGCAGGGGGATTGGCAGAATTGGGGGAGCAGGGACATCAAAGTGGATATGAAGTTCATCTGGCTAGCTGAGGTCACTGCCCCAGATGTCTCGCTGGTCCTTGCCTCACCTGGTGTCAGGATAGCACACACTTGCAGCTCATGCAGCCAGGACCACTCTCATCAGGGGGGTTTAGTTTCCGCAGTTTATGCTGCCGAATCTCACGTACTAGCGTGTAGAAGGCATCCTCCACAC